AAGGGTTCCTTACCCCATCTTTCCTCTGCTCCCTAGGGAGATGATGGGCCCTAGGAGTTAGCTTCCTTCATGGGGGGAGGCCAGCATTGCTATGGCCTCTGACCTGTGGGTAGAGTAGGCCCTTCCTTTACTCTAGGAAGCTAGGATGGGAAGAGATACCACTGGGGGTGGCGGTGGGGGGGGGGCTAGGCATCAGAATGAAACAGCACCATCACCCAGGCTCTGGTCCTGCTGGGCCACCAGTCTCTCTTGACTAAGGGAAGAAAGCAAAACCTCAACCTCAGACACCAGGGCTGGCCCTGGGGAGGAGGGTGGGAATCTCAAGAGCAGCATCAGGCAACCGGGAGAGGAAGCTGAGGCTTGAGAGATTAGCTGCTGTCAGATAGCAGATCTTTATTGTTGTTCCCATTCCCATTTAAGCATCCCCTTGCTTGCCCTCCACTTTCTGGAATCCTGTTACCAGTTAGAAGGCCCTATAGCTCACTATGACACAGGGCCTGGCACATAGTAGGCCCTCAATAAATACTGTTGAATGAATGAGATGGGATTCACAGCCAGGAAAGATTTTGGGTGTCTCCGAGTCTTCCATGCCACCAGGTCCACAGGGAACCAACATCCAAGTGTTCATTCATGGGGTCCAGGCCACCCAGCAGAGCAGGCATGGGAACCTGTGGGAAACCCCATCTGGGAGCCTAGTGGGAAGTTAATTGTGTCTCTGTGAGGGGCACAGAACTTCCCTTTAATGCAGGTCTTGTTCCATTTGGTGTTTGAGTTCTGGGTTCCCCAGCTCAGCCAGTCAGCAGTCAGTCAAGGGGCCTCCTTGGAGCGATGAGCCAGCTCCCAGCTCTGCCCAGAACCTTCTAGTACTCCAATTCTGCTGACCGCTTCCATTTTATCTCCTATCCCCATGCCCCTCCTTTGCCATTCCCTTAACTAGGCCAGCCTAATTCCTTTCACTTAAGCTTTTTTTTTTTTCTTTTGCTAAATTATCTTTTTATTAACTATACTATCTCCCTGTCACAGAGACCTTGTCTGTCTTTTGCAACACTGATAGAACTCTAGAAACTATAACCTACCTTGGTTAAAGTTGCTAGAAGCAACTTTAAAAAAATTTTTTTATTTTATGTGTATGTGTGTATTGCCTGCATGCATGTACATCCATGTTGTGCAATGCCCGTGGAGGTCAGAAGAGGTTGTCGGATCCCCTAGGACTGGAGTTACGGACAACCGTCAGCTGCTATGTGGGTGCTGGGACTTGAACCCGGGTCCTCTGCAGGAACAACCAGTGTTCTTAACTTCTGAGCCATCTCTTCAGGCCCTAGAAGCAACTCTTAAAAGAGGCTTTGCCCTCCTGCTCTCCTAGGACAATGGTGTAGAGAGGTGGCCCTTGGCAGCAGGATCAGGGGCCACATGGCCCACTGGCAGGGTCTTGTTCACTCCTTGTCCCCAGCCCTTATTTTACATGAAGAAACTGAGGTCCACGGAAGAGGGGCGGCCCAGGAGGTATATTTGGAATCTTCCAAGTAGAATTCCCAGGTGCCCTTGGAGCTGTCCAAGGCATAGCTAACTGTGCAGGGGCAGTTAGCAGGGGCGCAAAGGGGCAATAGGCATATCACAGGATACGGAACATGAGAAGCCCCAGGGTTAGATGGGGAGTGCAGAGGCACACTCAGCCCTCTGCCTCCTGGGTCTCTGGCCCAAAGATAACCATCAGGTGCACCAAGGGGGACTCTGCATGTGTCACTAGTAGTCCCAGAACTGTCTAGCCTTAAGGGAGGGGCAAGTGCTATTTTATTGGTAAGAAGTATCCTGGCCCCCAGACCCCTTTGCACTGTGTACCCTGTAGAAGGTTGGTAAGGCTGAGGAGGTTTTTTTAGTCCCGCCTCAGATTTTTATTATTGAGATAAGAGAAACTAATTTTTCCGACAGTTTTAGATTCTGGGCCGCCTCTATATAACTTCTGCTCCTGTGTAAACAAAATACTGCCCCCAACAAAACCCAGAAAGTATTTGAGACAGTGTTCAAGACAACAAATATGTCCACCATGACAAAAAGCCTGTTTCCATCTATTCCTCAGAGTGTGTTTTATAAGGAATAAAGCACATTTGGGTAAAAAATATTCATTATACAAAAATTTTGAATTCTTCCTTCTCCCCCCAAGAAGTTTCAGACCCTGACCTGGATAAAAATACCAAAATAAGGCACTAATTTCACAGGAACATCAATTTTATAACCCAATTGTACTTTACAAACTGTATTTAACACCCTCTGTTATTTGAAGGAGGCTAGGCTGTGGTAAGTATGCTTAGCGCTCTCCACCAAAAATAAATGTTTACCATCCGTTTATCAGCACCAAATTAGGAGTTTCTTAGAGTTTTGAAATTAGAGTTAAGGGAATTTCATTTTAAAGTTCAAGAAAGGATACACAGTTCTCACGTAAACATATCCATCCACCAACAACAGTGGCCCAAGAGATGTGAATTGGCTGTGGGACAAAGTAATCTCTTAGATTGACCCGAAACTGAGTATCCTTTAACTTCAACCTAGAGGATCTCATACAGATTTTAGTCCCTAAGCAGTGTGGCTGGAGCACAGCATGGCATAACTGTGAAGGTCAGAGCTGTCCATACTGTCAGTTGGCACCTGTGTGACCTGCTGCCCCTGCACACATGGCCTTTCACCTCAAATTCAGGATCAGAGTTCTTGTCTAGGGTAAATGGCAAACAAAGAAAAAAGAAAAATAGTGAGACCCCCCCCCCTTTATAGTAGCACAAAATGTTTTCCAGAGACAAGCTTTGTACTAAGATTTCACACACACAAAAAAGCCCTCCATCTCCAGCCTCTATTAAAGGTGTTTTTGTTGTTTCTTAATGGTACTATTCCCATGTCAGCTATGGTAAAAGCAGGGTGGGGCACAAATCTTCCTGTGTAGAAAGCACTCTTAATTATAGCCCTGGGTTCAGATCAGCACCGTGGGGGGGGGGGGGGGGGGGGGG